GTTCGGCGGCGTGAACCCCGTCGCCGGCGACCTCGCCAAGCCGTGCGTCGCCTGGGCCGTGCTCCTCGCCCTGATGAACTACAAGATGCTGTAGAAGGGAGGAGAGACAGTTAGAAAGGCTTTGCGAGTTGTCGCGTGGTGACCACGTCGGGTGGCGAGTTTGTGTATGTACAGTACACTGTACACGCGAGCGTAGTTTCTTGTATCTCGTCGCAAAACACCGCTATCTTTTTGTGTATTACTGTTGTTTAATACGTACAATCTACAATGTACTTACTATGTACGCGTACGAAATATGATCGTGTTCATGTTGTGCTCAAATGTTCGGTTTTTCTTTTTCGATTAGCTGCTTTTGATCGACTAGGGAGTATGGCCCCGAACACACACTTCTATAAACCAGATCGTCCACGTCGGTTCGATCAGCGAAGAGTCCCAGATAGAATCGGAATTGAGTTGGTTCAAATTCTGTTCTGTAGAGTCATCGCGTGTTAGTTCGTAATAAAGCAGACCGCGTCTCAGATCGATTAAACCCCTCTTGGAAATCGGCGATGTTCTTGGCCCAAGGGTTTTGAGCGGAGCAAGCAGCGACGGGCGGTGACCACGAGAGCACGCGACGAGCAGCGGCGCGGCAGACCAGGCGGCCACACGACATACGGCGCTGGCGGAGACGGGCGCAGAGGTCAACACGCGGCGGCGCGTCAGCACCGTAGCCACCGACAGCAGCAGGCGGCTCAATCTCCGGCAGCTGGCAAGCCAGTGAGTGCCCTGTTTTGCTCTTGCTCGATTTTTTGAGTGCTGACAATCGTTTACTTAACGTTGTTCAGTGAGCAAGCGAGCCAAGATGGCGGAGCCGGAGACGGAGACCACCATCGTGGCCTCTTGTGTCTTCCAATACAAAGTTGATTACGAACAAAGCAAGCAGCTTCCCATTGACAAGGCCATCTATTCCGACATCGTCTCCGCCGGGGGACATCTGTGGAGGATTAGGTGCTACTCGCGCGGCGACACAGAGGACGACAATGGCGAGTATATTTCTGTCTACCTCGAGCACATGAGCAAATCCACAAGCGTCGGGGCCATCTTTGATATCTTCATACTCGGCAGGGACGGCAAATCACCTACGTGGGACACGTCCAAGATATCCAGGACACTCCAAACCTTTGAAATCAATGGAGATAAAGACCAGCGCGACTGCTGGGGATGGAGTAAGTTCGTCAAGGAAACTATTTTGGAGGAAGATTACTTAACAGGAAACACTTCACAATTGTATGTACCATCATGATCATCGACGACAGTCCCATTGCCGTCCCGCCTCCAGACATCGGAACCCATCTTGGCCGTCTGCTAGATCATGCTGGCGGGTCAGACGTGTCATTCATCGTCGACGATGAGACTTTCCGTGCACACCGAGCGGTGCTTGCTGCCCGCTCACCGGTCTTTAGTGCAGAGCTCTTTGATTCCATGTGTCAGCGACCCAATTACTATCACGGCTACGTCGAAGGGCAACACAGCCAGCCCACCAAGAGCGACCAACACATGGGCCTGGGCCGTCGAGAACCAGCAAGAGCTACCAGCTATATATCTACAGGGGACAGCAACGAGCTAGCCATCCGGGCTTGGATCAGGCAAACGGCACGGCGGCTTCCTCCTTCCCCTACCTCCTGTACTTCCTCCTTCCTCCCTCCCAAATCCCCTTGTATCAGACCTTGATTCCCCAGTAATGGAGTAATCTGTGAGTGGAACCTAACATCGTGGCATCAGAGCCTCCTTCCACCCTTCCGATTTGCCACAAATCCTTCCAATTTTGCCCAATTTTTTTTCTCAGTTCATCAATTCCTTCCACCACCATGCATCCGGAGCTGAAGGCCTACCTGGATGATTACCATGCGCGGGCCATGGCGCGCTATGACGCCGTGGACAAGCAGTACGGGCTGATGTTGAAGATCCTCACGGGCGTCTCGACCCCGCAGCCGGCATGTCCCATGGCCACGGCAGCAGATGACGGCCTCACAGACGACTCTAGTGTCCCGGCGGTCGTCCCCGACACCTCTTCCTCCACCACCAAGGCCCACGAGACCTTCGAGCTCACCCCCGGCGCGTCCCCTGCTTCCATCGAGATGGTGCCAGTCACCTGTTCGACGGAATGTCCGACCGAGGTAGTCACCATCGCCAGAGTTAACGAGGTCCACGCCGCCACCACAACTGTCCGCCTTGAGCCCGCGGTCGATCTCATCCACCAGGAGGTCGTGCCGATCATGACGGTTCATGCAACGCCTGCCATCGGCACCAGCACCACCAAAGTCCTTCCCCCTGTGGCGACCACCACCGACGTTGACTCCAAGGCCAGTGTGCAAGAGCTCGATGCACTCACTGTCAACACCACCCCAGTGACGAGTGAGGTGGACCACACCGTCGTCCACAACGTCTTCAGCGACCTTACTGCATCGACGCTGACAATGTGTTCGGCGCAATGCACCTGTCGCCACACAAACCTACGGAGGTATGTGCTCCACCCAGCAGCGACACCTTCGTGGCTGGTGCTACGACCGCAACCATGGCCATCGTTTTGGAGACATTATGCAGATGGAAACGAGAAACGGCCCATGCCATGGCCGTCCTTAGCTTGCTCTTGTGAACTGAATCGGAAGCACGTTGGGCTGCTGTCACAAGTTACATCTGCGATGAATCATTTTTCTGGTACTCCAGATTCGCTGAGAAGACCTAGGAAGTATTTGCAAATTATGCACCTGAAACTACTGTTTTCATCATTCTCAAGCAATTGCCAAGCAGTACAGTTATGGTCAGAGCTACCGACAGTGGAATTTCAGTTTTGTGCTCATGATCCTACTGATCCAAAAATCACGAGAGAACCCTGGTGGTGCTTGCTGAAAATTACTTATAAGATCGGTCAATTGGGTCACCTATTCAGACCAAGGCAGTGGCGGTCGCTCAAATATGATTCAGTTGCATGCTATCTTGAGGAGCCATCTTCACGTACACATCACCAACCTCATGAAGTTTCAGGGTTCAGTGTTGAGCTAGTACCATTACCATTCAGCGATGTGAGTTCTCCTCAAGTTCCTTATCGTCGGTCGAATTCCATGGACGAGTCATTCTGTTGTTTGTCGGGTGCAAAGCTGCAGTTTGGGCACAATAAACTACAGATTATGAGCATGTCAGTACAATGGCACTTTCTGAGCCAAGAGAAATTAAAGGGGAGTGGTCGTTTTGATAGTGAATTCAGACCTGAACAAGTAGTTGATGTTTCAAAAACAAGAATTCAGTTTGCCGACCTAATCAGCCTGGAGTGTTGCTCCTTCAAGTGTGGACCAAATTGCATACCATTTGTACTCTGGTGGAAATACAAGTGTCTTCTTCTTTTGGTGGGAGTTCAACACATGATTCTAGTTCATTTGTACTTTTTGCACAAGATGACCAGTACTGAAGCCTTGGAAAAAGGTGATTGTCAGCATCTTATATCAACCAATTGTGTTCCAGCATATCTGAAATCAGATGAAGTCTGTGTTGCTGCTATTTGCAAGTTTGATCAGGGAAATTCTCAGGAGTGGGTATTGATACTTTGTTTCAATTAGGGACCACTTCTTGTTTGTACAACTCAGGTGCATTGGAATCTTTCTGAGACGGGTGCTTACTGGATCCCCATGGTACCAAGCTATATTCCTGTCCCGAGTCATCCAATAAAACAATTTATTGATGATCTGGCCTTAGTATTGCAGAACAACGGCTAGTCATCTGTTGGGTGCAATCCTCTTATGAATTTCTCGCTCATGACGCCCAACCGATGTTTTGTTTCAGTCAAAAAAATGCCCAGCTGAAGTTACCAGGATCATATTTTTTATGCACTTGTCAGGCAGTACAGTTACTCTACCATTGGGTTCATGAGCATGTCACTGAGTTGGCTGGTAGTTGTTACTTTGCAAAATTTTGGCGCACTAGAGATTCCCATGATTTAGTACATCACTGGGTAGTTCCTATATGTGCCAGTATACAAGCAGGTGGTAATCTGTTCAAGTATAAGTGGAGCGGACAATATGAATGGAGACTGTTGAAGCCTAATTTCCTGCAAGCTAGTTCTGGTCCCTGTTCTGATGCATATTTCTATGGGAACCAATGCACGGTGGTCGTTGAAGTGTTGGTGTATCTTGTTGGGCAGCTAAGTGACATGTTTCATAAGTGGAGAAGCCAGTATCATATAGGGGCGAGCAACAAAATCACTTACAACTATGGTATATGCCTTGGCATCTCAGTGGCAGGGAGTGGGCTCCTTCTGATTGTTGGACCTACTTATTCCAAAACCAGGAGAGCATTTGGTCTTGTTGCAACCCAAGCCTCCGTGGTCACCTCTTGTTCCACCACAAATTTCTACACAATTCAGCAGCAATATGCGAAGAACTAATTCAGAGTTTCTACACCTCGCTGGAGTTCTTTGGGAAATCACACCATTGTGGATCTGTGTTGATCATGTTAATATCTTGTCAAGCCATTGGTGGTGCTTCTCTTGGGGCACTTACCCAGATGCAGATGTCACTGCTGCATGTCTGGGACGCTCAACCCCGAAGGAGTTTCAGAGCACTGCACACAACAATGAACAACATGCGGTACAGTCACTTCAACCGACAACTTCGTCTTATGCTCAATGGGATCCAGGAGGATTGGATTTTGCAGAACCAGTGAAGAACAGGCACCGGCTTGGGGGCAAGCCGGTTGTTAAGGAGGAGGGGATGTCAGCGACCACGCAGCCAGCCCACCAAGAGCGACCAACACATGGGCCTGGGCCGTCGAGAACCAGCAAGAGCTACCAGCTATATATCTACAGGGGACATCAACGAGCTAGCCATCCGGGCTTGGATCAGGCAAACGGCACGGTGGCTTCCTCCTTCCCCTACCTCCTGTACTTCCTCCTTCCTCCCTCCCAAATCCCCTTGTATCAGACCTTGATTCCCCAGTAATGGAGTAATCTGTGAGTGGAACCTAACACCATGTCAGAGGCTACAATGTCATCCATCGCGCTGCACGACATCACAGCTGCAACATTCAAAGTTATGCTTCGGTTCATTTACACCGATGAATTGCCCGGAGAAGACGATCCCACAGACTCATCCGTTGAGATGTTCCAGAACCAGCTCGCTGCTGCTGATCGGTATGCACTGGACCGGCTGAAGATTATTTGTGCCCAGAAGTTATGGGAGAAAGTGTCCGTAGATACAGTTGCAACTATCTTAGCTTGTGCTGAAACCTACAACTGTCAGGAGTTGAAGAACAAGTGCATTGACTTCTTTGTGGCGGATGAAAATTTCAAGGAGGCCATGTTCACGGATGGTTATGCGCTACTGGTTCTGAAATTCCCATCGATTACTGCTGAGCTCAAAAGGAGGGTTAGGGCATAATCTAGTGAGAGATACATCTGTGTGTATATAGTCTAGATTTTAGGGACACGGCGTTTTGGTGCTCGGGCGCAGCTGCTCCCTAAATCTCTCTCCTTGGTTCGCTTCTGGGGATTCGAAAAAAGCGGTCTGACAGGTCTGCGCTGAGACGCTGGTAAATCGATATACGGCTGTGCAGTGTAGCGAACAGTTCGTGGTCGTGGGCCCGAATCGTACGTGCGCACGTCCGTCCCGACCGATTGAGAAGCTGGTCCGTGGGCCAGATTAGTCACTTTTATGCTGAGCCGTGACCAGGGTCTGGGTACAGAAACGCGTGTCTCCCTGATCCGCCGTATGGAAAACATGTCGAGGGCTTCGGGTCGGGTGGTTTGACGAGCAATGAGATCGCGCTGGTGGGGAGGCACCTCACGGTAATGGCGGGCGCGGCAGAGCGGCGCTGGATGCCGATGGTGAGTTCCTATTGGATCCAGTTGACCGGTGAGTTTCTCTACCGCATCTCTGGATTTTCGTGCTTTGATGGATTCCTCGATTCCCCGCCGCCGCTGCTTACTCTGTTGTGGTTTTCAAGGTTCCCACTCAGGGAAGAGTTGGCCGACAGCTTGGAGCAGCCAAATCCGGACACTCTAGGGTTCCTCCGACCATCCATGGCCATTGGGCTGCATCGCCGCCGATGCCGTTGCCACCGCCCCGTCGCCGTCGACCCCGACACCACCGCTGCTCTCTACATCTCAGTCTCGCCGGGGCCCCTCTCTGCCTTGGTCCCCTCTACTGGACAGCTGCTCGGCGGTGTCGTCTTTCTCCTGTACTGGTTGGCGGCATCTCGTTCTCCGGCACCAACAAGTCCATGGCCCCATGGTTCTGCACGAAATCTCTAGTCCGGCAGCCTCCATCAGACACCACGGGTAACAAATACAGTTCCCTAATCTTCTTTTCCACGGATTCATGATCTAGAGTGTTGATGCTTGTTGTGAAATTTTCAAGATTTCTATAATGTTGATCTTTAGTTGTTGGAACGTGCAAGTATACAATACGTGAGTAGGCAGTAGCTGCTGTTGGTTCAGTCCAAATCATACAAGTAGATTTAGACAGGTTTGTGTAACATGGCATCTGGACATCAATTATACTTGTTTCTTTGTCAGTATCGTGTATTAGATTAGCACAAGTTTCTTAATTGCCATACAAGGTTATTGGATAATTTATCTGTTATTAGGAGGGAAATCAGTGCATAAGCACTTATCCGGGCATCACCAACAGTAGAGAAGCCACTAGTATGCTCTTGTGCTTCCGCATTACAAGATAATAAAAGTCTGGGATACAATAGGTTACATCTTTGATGTTTTCTATAGTAATTAGCGGCCATATTAATCCTAAGCACGTCCCTATTAAAATTATAATGGAAAAATAAATGATAAATGCGGAGGGTAAATTGTACAACAAAGATCAAATTGGCCAGGGGGAGATCACACTTTCATTCACGAAAGAAGGCAATCTTTTCCACGTCACATGTGCCAATTCACCTCTAATTAGATTTTATCAAGACAAGATTCTTTGCCGCCTTTTCATGTCTACTAAATGATATCTCTTTGTCAGCTATATATGCATGCTTTTCTTTACAGTGGCCAAGCTATGATTCTACTGAATTGTAGCATATGGAATTTTCAGAATTTATGCATACGGAATTGTAGCATACCTGAACTTAAGATGGCAATGACACTAATGGTAACCGTAATTGTAAGGTCGCCCATTTGCAAAATATAAAGACCAATCAATCATCATCACAGCCTGCTGCTACATGAACTTTGGGTGCTACTCTGCAATAGGATGCCCTTTTTGTCATCAGAGGACATACACATGCATATATTTACAGTTGCTGCTCGTCTGGCTGTCCCGTGGCTAGTTTGTAAAAGGAAGCATGTGCAAAATAAACACTCATTAGCAATCAGTAAGAAGAGAATGCAAGTGTTGTTGTTCTAGGTCCTTTAGTTCTTTCTTCTTCATTGGTACTGATGAGGAGAATAATGCCTTATGATCTCACATACTACCTATCTCTTAACTATTTTTCACACATTTCCTTGTGTTGATCAGTTTACTCCATGAGTCAATTTGTACTAGATTATATAATCAGTTTACTGCCATATATGTCTTTGTCCAGTGCTCCATGGTTGGATGCACTTGTAGTAGTACTGTACTAGGCTTCAGATCAACCAGTTTAGGAATTTGGGGGAAAATCCTTTTTTATTAAGTTTGATTAATTTTACCAACCTTGGAAATTTTCCCTTTTTGTTAAGTTTGCTACTGGTACTTCTCTATGTCGCCATGGCAGTTTGAATTGACATATGCACTGAACTGAATTTACATTTCCAATCTGACATGTTTTACATCAGGCTTCTTTACTTCAAGGCATGTGCTACACTTCAGCTGACTGATTTGGAGGTATTGTGGTATGTGAACTGGACATCAGAAGTTGCGAAGCCCCATCGATGCTGCTTTGGAGCATCTCCACCACTCCTGCAATGCCGGTGATTTGCAACATGGTGGATGTTGTAGTGACAGATGCAGCAAAGATGTCGTGGTGCCCCTCCACTTTTCAGCATGTCGTATGTTGCGCCGGTTGTGTGGTGGTGGTGGTCGGCGCCGGCCCTCCAGGCTGCAGCACTCACCGCAGGAATGGCTTGCAGCGGTCGTTGCCATGGCACTGCTTTGCAGAATCAGTGGGGGTCGAGCAGGCTGGCAGAATCGCGGTGGGCGATGTCTCTGTAAGAGGATGAGATGGAGAGTGAACTGGCCCACTGGGCACGTGCCAATTGCACGAGGCACTTGTTTCTACATTAAAAATTATAATGTGATTTATGTAAGTGCTATATGTGAACTGGTAAGAGCAATGGTTGAATTGTTGGTCAGTGGAAGAGTAATTGGTGAACCGTAAACAGTGACGTATTGGCCCTGGTCTGGCACCACAATGGTTTTATGTAACAATTTGTTTTAAGTGTGGATGAACACCGCTGGATTATGCACAGCCTCCAGGCCGATGCATATGCGGTGGCGCCCCCCACCGCCGGAGAGTGCCTTGAGCCTGTTGAGCATGACGCAGCCAAGGGCGTGGAACACTGCAGACGCTGCTGTCGACCGTCTGGCCCGCCCTGCCGCCGAATAACTCATATCTCGATCCTACGTGAACAATATGCCTACTAGTGCATGCAGCGCGAGGTGTCAGCCAACGTGGCGAGAAGCGGCTTCATAATAGACCACGTTAGTTGAACCGGATGAAAGAAGGGATTAGATAGTAATTAGCACCGATTTATTAGTGTATGGGGCGAGTGTCCTATAAAGTACTTGAGGAGTTAAAACGTAAAATATCCCTAAGACGCTAGTTTAGGGGCATATTCCGATACACACGCAGTCAGCCTTCAATTTCCTTTTGGAAAAACTTTGTCAGACGGGGGGCAGAACGGCACGACAAGGCCCAGGAAAATGGCTGGGCCGTGTTGGAAACATCTGGGCCGTGACGGTACCTACTAGCAGTAAATGCGGACGCTGGGTGAATTTTCCATCGATACGACACATAATACACGTAAGAATACTGCGCAGGATGAAGATCTCGAGAGGAAAGTGCGACCAGGATATCGGGTGCATCTGGGCTCGGGCACCGAAACGAATTTTCGAGATTTTAGTGTATAGTTCTAGGATGGTGTTTTCTAATGAATTGGCCTGCATGTTTGAGAGAAGAAAATAACACCATACGAAGGGCTCAGTTTGTCTGCATACAACACATTATTTATATTAGAGAAAGGCCTTTGCATGACGCAAGATAAAAGATTTTGCTCTTCTAGAATGTGAAACAGTTGGGAGACAGGATTCAAATTGTTGTCTTATTAAGCAGGTGTTATGCTTTGTAATTGCTTCTATTTTTGGTTGCCATTCTAATTTTGCAATATTTTTTGTTTGGGCATGGACTGTATACATGACGGATGCTTGAAGCAAATCTATGTAATTCATACTTGCACTTTTTTTTTGAAAAATAACATTCCATTAACTTCAGTCCATCCCTGCCCCCTCCCTTTTATACAACCTTTGTCATCTTGTTGCTGCTTCATATGTTTTATTATTTTAAAATATAAATCAAAAACACTCTTTACATTCTCTTTTTCATTAATTTTAGTTGTCCCTGGCACCAATTTATGCATTTATTTTAATCCCGCGACACCGTGTGGGGTATCATCTAATTCTATTTACATTTGAATTTTATGACATGCTATAGATATGCGTCAATTTGTACCTATTGTTCAATTTATTCCAAAATTTTTAATCACGTTGATGTGCATTTTATTTTGGCCTTTATACGGAATTTATTTTCGAATTTCCTTTTTTTAGACAATTTTGGAATTTTCTAGTCACACTACAGTAGTCAAACGGGACGAATCCCACAAGGTAGCGCTGCCATGGGCCGCCCTATGTAGCGGTTTCCCCCTTTTTCCTCCAGTTCTTTTCATTGTTTTTCTTTACTTTTTTCCTCTTTTCACTTTCTTTTTTTCCCGTTTGTTATTTTCTTCTTCTTCTTTTTTTCTGCTTGATTCTGTTGTCAATTCATGAATATTTTTAAAAATAGTGCACATTTTTAGTACATGAAACATTTTATAATATTCATGATCCTTTTTAATATTTTTTCCCAAACTCGTGAACACTTTGCAAGTTTGTGAAACATTTTAAAAATTCATGAACTTTTCGTTTTATGATATTATTTATTTAATTTTACAAATTGACAAAATCTTTAAATTCTGATTATTAAAATACCTAATATTTTTGAAATCGTGTTTTCTTTGGTACTTAATAAACTGACAACATGGTTTTTCAGCGCCAGCCACTTTTGATTTCTTCAGCCAATAAGCTAAATGGGACGGGGCCCTGGTGCATTTTATCTCCGACTAGAATAAAAAAAAGGTGTGCTTTGTTGCTCCCGACTTTTTCTTTTACGTTAAAAAATATGCTTTCTTTTCTTATTTGTG